CCACAAGGATTGAACTCACAACAATCGTGGGTTTAGCAGGCCAATGCTCAAACCACTAAGCTATTCCTCCCCCCATGAAAAATGTCATTTTCAGCTTCAGAAGACCTACCTGCACTAACTGATAGAGCTTGAGTGCTAAAAATAGAAATGGAACCATGGCAGCATGGGCTGTGGGAAGGGCTAGGTGCCTAATTACATACATGTAGAGTATGTGTACACTGCATGGTTTTTGTGCCAAAATGGCTATTTTGGCACAAAAACTTGTGGAGCGTTCACACTACAAGCCCATTCTTGTGCAAGAAAAACTACAATAAAGCGTAAGAACACAGGGCTTTTTGCGCAAGAGGTATTACTCTCCCTATGAGGAATAAGCCTTTTTGCACAAGAGCTCTTGTGCAAAAAGGCATGTATGGACAGACAACAGGGGTTTCTTGCACAAGAAACACCTACTGCTAAAATGGCCATCAGAGCTTACTTGCGCAAGAGACCACCCACTCTGCCATGGATGCTCTTGCACAGAAGCACATCTCTTGTGCAAAAGCACCTGGCAGCGTGGTTGCACTCTTGCTCAAGAGCTCTTGAGCAAAAAGTTCTTGCACAAGAAGCCTGCAGTGTAGACGTAGCCATAGAGTATTGTAGTAAGGACAGCTAGACCAACCTGCTGCTCCTGTTACCTCAACTATACTTTTATTTTTACCATGCTAGCTCATGTAGAGATGTCCATTAGATCTTGAAATTATACCCTCATATCCTTTGTAGATATACCCTGAGATACTTTTGAAGATGAAATTTCAGCTGTACAGAAACATTTGAATGTGTTTCCCTTCATTAATGTCTATCAATTACCATATCTAATCCTTTCAATGGCTTATTCCAAGTATCTTTCTACAGGAACTTGAAATTAATTAATATTCAACCCAAGAAACTATCCAGGCAGTCCCCGGGTTACATGGATCCGACTTACATCGATCCCTACTTACAAACGGGGTGAGGCAACCCCGCACTAGCAGCTTCCCCCCAGCAGACCAGGGAGATGTGAAGCTAGCCCAGGGAGACGCGGAGCGGCTTTTCTCAGCAGACACCTCAGCTTGAGAATAAAGGACTGAGGGAAGTGAGGTGTGGGAGAATAAAACTGAGCTCTGGAGAAATGTTTGGCTAGAGTTTCCCCTACAATATGTACCAGTTCTGACTTACATACAAATTCAAGAACAAACCTACAGTCCCTATCTTGTACGTAACCCGGGGACTGCCTGTATTTGTCATTATTAAAATAGAATTGCAATAATCAATGATAAAGCTCAGGTTAATAGACTGTTTCACTTTACTTTACCTGGTACCATTTTGGCATTTTTAAACTGACATATAGTTTAATTATTTTCTGAGACAATACAAATGTACATGTCTATCGATCTGTCTCCTTCCATGTGAGACTATCAAATAGCTTTATTAGAAACAGTAATGCTTTCACTATTCTGTAACATACTCTTTTAATTTTGTACATTGTCTTCTCAATTGTCTTTCTCTCATTCATGCTATTAATGAATGTTATTTTGTTTTCCTTTATTTGATTCATAAACGTTATCAGAATAATTTACAGCATATTTCTCTATTTTTATATAGAATTAACTTCATGTGCACCAAAACATGCACAAGTTAAAAAAATTCTGTAGCAATTTTTCTATATTGAAATATATCTTCTATATTCCCCATTTTAAATAAATAATCTCAACTGGATAATAAACAAAAAAAGTGATAAAGCAGTAAATGTATCCCATGAAAGTCATGTCAGCAAGCTCCTTCTGTTATGAGCAAGAAAAGGCAAAGGTAATCAGACTGCTGATGACAGTCTAGCCAGGGGTGATAATCCCCATTTCATCAGATACATTTAAACAACTGTGTTTCACATCCCTCCAAAGCAGCTTTGCCCATGTCACAGCACAAATTAGTGAAGTCTAAATTTCAGCTCAAGGCTCCATGTGTCATTTAATAGCATACATTTGCTAACTGTAGCCAAAAAGCAGGCTTCCATCAGGGACCTTGAAACTCCTCATTTACATAAGAATGGGAAGTTAATTGTGTTACAGATATTCTGGCTTCCCCAAGGAGTTCATTAAGCATGCTGAACATGCTGAGAATATAACTTAACTGTCATTTCTGAGAAATCAGGAAAATTCTACTTCAGATACACCACCACTGGAAGTAAAGGACATAATTTAATATACACTTGATTCTCAAACATAAATAGGAAAAGATTGAAATACCCAGTCCACCCAGGATGTTGCTGATATTTTCAAATATTAGCAGTTATTTTGTATAACACTTTCTACCTTTTATCACTGTCCACTCAAAATATGGGTCACACATCAGAAAAGTTATTAAAAGAATCTGCTTATGTTTGTATTAGATATTTCCCCAGCAGCATTTGGTACCATTGTTATATCAAAAAACAAAAACAAATCAAAGAAAAGAGAAACCATGTTTATTCTTATCAGAGCTGGCAAAAAAGAAAGGAAGATGGCCTGGAATGCATCTCACAGATTGTTGATGACATCTTTCTAGTCACCTGTCCCTTCCCTGATTAAAGCATGGAGCCATTTGAAATCTGTTCTCAATATTTGGCTTGTCCTGGGGAAATAATTGATTATTAAATGTGTGGTAGATGCACCTCATTCTTTACTCCATAGCAAAAAGCCATGTTATCACAATTGTGTAGTGAAGCATTTTTTGATTGCCCTGGCAACTTCTTTTTCGTTTAACCAATCTAGATAGGCAGATAGCAGATCCACTGGCAGGAGGAGAGGTAAATGGGACAACCACCCCAAGACCTGATGATGCAAAATGTCCCAGAGCTCCCAGTCGCCACTGCTGAGTGTTATTTGGGGAAATCATGGTGTTGATAGCTGCCTTTCCTGAAGTGCAGAACACCCCCTCGATCCTTGGAAACCTAGTAAAGCAGTTAAGCCGGAGAGATAGGTAGAGAGATAGAGAGATAGATAAAGATAGAATGTCACATATGTTACAGTGTCTTTATTTCTATAAATCTGGGTTGGAAGTATTAATTTTCTAATTCCTGGCTACGTAGTATAGGGGTTAATTGCAGAATAACTTTGTACGTGATAAGTATAGGGGTGGTGGGGCATGCATTCTCCCCCCCACCCCACCCATATCTGATGAGCAGAAACAAACCTTCAAGAACACATACCATTCAAGATAGGCGGTGGTGCCATTGTAACAAAAACAGGAATATATAAGGGTAGTAGAAAGTGCAGGAACTATCTTGCTTAACCAGATGTATTAATCATGTAAACAAGGTCAAAGGACAAGCTGTACCAGATCGATAGTCAACAGCCAAGCAATATTGTAACAAGTGATAAGTAACCCCCAGTAAGTTCCAAATTGCAAAACAGGGTGAAAACCTGTATATAAGCTGCACAACCGTATGACAATTTGGACTTCACTGATGGACTCTGATACTGGTTCCTCAGAAGCATAGGCGACCTCCCACTCATCCGCAGCTGAAGGGAGTCCTCAGCTTTCAGAAGGGACATAAGAACCTCTTTTCCTATCATGTTGTTCCTTTAGTTAAGGGGTACAATTGAAATCTGTCAGGAAATAAACTGCTTATGTTTGACAGATACTGGTGCAGCCTGTTTTGTACTTAGAGAACCCAGTGTCGGACCTGAGAATTACTCTTGCCGGCATCAATAGCCACAACTACAATTTTGTGGCTAAGATGATGGCTTGACAACATGCTATAGAAGGACAATGCTATTCACTGGTACTGGAAATTATATTGCTCTATAAAGATTGACGCAAACCACTTCACTGATCTATTATATTCTGTAATCTACCACAACTAAATCAGAAATTATTTGGTCCTGATTAATACAGCCACATCTATTTGTTTATTCCAGTTAGCAATTTAGTAAGGTTTTTGTTGTTGTTATTGTTTTGCATGCTTGTTTTCCTTTACCAAAATATATACAGGGTAATTTGACCAGAAGTTCCATCGACTTCTTTTCTTGGTAAAAAGAGAAAGTGCTACTACTGAGAACTTGACTTGCACAGGCTGCTTACCCACAATTCCTCTAATGACACATAGTGAATCATCATTGCTCTAAATAAACATTTTTGATGGTTGTGGGTTCCTAGAAAACTTAGATGAGGAAGAGGTCTTCCTTGTAGTAGAGAATCCATTTGAAATGTTCTGGAGTTTGGTCAAGGGTTCTATGCTTCTTTCCCCTTCCAGGAACACTTCATTGCAAGAATTAATGCAGAGATGCAAGAGATGATGCAGAGAACAACAGCAGATATGAATGGACTCGAGTGAGGCCCTACCCATTGAAAACTAGAATAAAGTTGAATCTCTAGTGGCTTAGTTGCCTCCTAAGTGGCCAAAGCAAGCAACCCTCTTGAGACCTGAAGAAGAGGCACAAAAACGCATGGACTGCTGCTACTCACTGATCCAAACTGAGAGTGAGATTTGATAAATGGGTGAATTAGTGCACTCAAGGGACTAACTCTAGGATGCTAGACTAAAACCAAAGTTACTGGAGGGATTATTGTACTAAATTGCTTTTCCCTAATAAAGATCCCATTGCTTTCTATACAGTGCTGGCTTTGTAGGGGTTAATAGTGGAAAAATTTTGTATGTGCAAGTTTAGGTCTGGTGAGACATGCATTCCCCCTTTTTCCCTTTTCCCTATATCTGATGAGCCAGCAGCAAACCTCTGGGAACATATTCCATTTAAGATAAGCATTGTTGCCAGTATAGCAAGAACAAGTATAGCTAAGGGTAAAGGGCAAAAACGCATAAACAATCCTGTTTACCCTAATGTACTGATCACATAAACAAGGCCAAAGAACAAGTAGAGCCAGATTAGAACCAGATCCATAGTTAACAATTAAGCCCTACATCAACACGTAATGAGTAACCCCTGGAAATTTCCAAACAGCAAAACAAAGTAGAGGAACTTTATTTAAGGCTGCACCAGAGCACAGCAATTTGGACTTCATTGATGGGCTTTGGGTACCGATGCCTTGGAAGCTGAGACAGTCTCCCACTTTGTCTGCAGCCAAAACGGGCTCCTTGGCTAGCCAAAGGGACGTAAGAAATGTTGCTTTTCCTATCATGTTGCTTTTTTAGTTAAGGAGCGCAGCTGTTAGCTATCAGAAAATAGACTGCTTTTCTTTGACAGATACCTGTGTAGCATGTCTTTGTACTTTGAAAACCCAGTGTCGGACCTGAGACTTACTCTTGCCGGCAACAGGCTTGTGAGAAATTTTTAGGGTGTCAAAGGAAGGTACATTTAATTGCCTCACATTTTTGGTTGGGGATCTTGAGTTGGTTTCATTATTTGTCTTGAAGGACTAGAGATATAGTGAACCTCACCTTTTTTGTATCTGTTGAACACATGGCAGAAAAGTTGCACTGATATTAATTTCTGTGGAATACAATAAGAGACATAAGAGAAATTCTTGACTCATCAGTCCTGGGACACACTAATAGATTCATAGACCACAAGGGATCATGGTGATCACCCAGTCTGACCTACATAACACAGGCCATGTAGCTTACCCTAAAGAATTCCTACAGCATAGCTTTTAGAAATAGCATCTAATCTTTGAGTTAAATGTCAGTTATGAGGAATCCAACATGACCCTTGGTAAATTGTTCCAGTAGTTAAATTACCTTCTCTGACAAAAAATATATGCCTTACTCCCAGTCTGAATTTATCTAGCTTTACTATGCAGACATCAGAGTGTGCAAACCTTCCTTTGCTAGATTGAAGAGCCTGTTATTAAATAACCCTAAGCAGATACTTATAGACTGTAATCAAGACACCATTTAACCTTCTCTGTTTTAAAGATAAATAGATGGAGCTTTTTAGGTCTATTATGATAAAGTGTGTTTTCTAATCCTCTAATCATCCTAGTGGCTTTTCTCTGAACAATCTCCAATTAGTCAACTTCCTTCTTGAAAAGTGGACACATAATGCAACTGGACACAGTTTTACCAGCAGACACACCAGTGTCATATACAAAGATAGAATACCTCTCAGCTCCTACTTGAGTTTTCTGTGTTAATGCATCCCAATATTGCATTAGGTCTTTTGACTAACCATCACATTAGGAGCTCTATTCAGCAGAAAGTGCACAACAAACTGAAATCTTGTTTGTTGCTTTGCAGGATAGAGTCCCCCATCCAATAAGTATGGGCTACATTCTTAGCTCCATACTGAACACATTGAGGTGTGGTCATATTAAATGTATATTTTTGGTTGTATCCAGCTTACCAAGTTTACACTTCATTATTTACAGCTCCCTCAATTTTTCTGTCATTTGAAAACTTTATCAGTCATGATCTTATGTTTTCTTCCAAATCATTGATAATACATATAAATACTATAGAGTCGCAATACAATTCCTGCAGGACCCCATTGCAAATACACTGGCTTGATGGCAATTTCCTATGTAAAATTACATATTAAGATCTATGAGTTAGCCAGTTTTTAATCCAATCAATGTTTATCATTTTAATTGTATATCATTGTAGGTTTTTTAATCAATATGTCATGTGGTATCATGTCAAACCCTTATATAGTCTAAGTTTATTACATCAACACTATTATCTTTCTCAACTGAACTTGTAAACTCATCACAAAATATATAGTTAGTTTGACAGGATCTATTTTCTACAAACCCATGTGATTTACATTGATTACATTACCCTCCTTCAGTCCTTTATTAACCAAATCCCTTATCTGCTGCTCCATTGTCTTCCTCAGGATTTATGCCAGGTTGACAAGCCTATAACTACATAGGCCAACCCATTTACCCTGTTCTACTTTGTTTTTATTAGGGTGTTCAGCACATTATTACCATAGCCATTTGTGAGTATTTGATACACCCTACTATAGTTGCAAGTCACCCTTGAAGAAATACAGAGAGTAATATATTCAGTAGAGATGGTAATGTGGCAGTGAAATATTATCAGTGTATCAGCTTCTGTACACAGAACTTCTAAATAGCATCATACTATTCTGATATTAAGTCCAGCTGAGTGAAAAATTCACAGTGAATAATTTATTTGACACATTTAGTCTTTTCTTCTGCTCTTGCAATCTACTTGTGGAGATTGCAAATCCTGCAAATGTATTCCTCGTATTAATTTATATACAATTATTTAGTGGTTTTACAATCGGATAAGATACTCTCCAGAATTACTCCCATTTCCCATTTGCTCTTTATGCTATATAGAGGGGAAAATACTAATCTCCTAGTGGCCTGTGTCAGGAAAGTTTGCCAACTCCTCACCACCAGATGAAGGAGATGGAGCAAAGGATTCACCCACTCCCCACCCTGGTGCAGCACCCATCTACTCCTAAATGTCTGGATGCAAGATCCAGAGCATGATGCCAGTTCTGAGCCTAATGAATCTTTTGAGATGGTGAGGATCCGTGAAGACTAAGGGGCCAACTACTTCACAATCAAGAGGATTTTAAAGGTTTAGCTCATCTACAAGCTACCTGACCCACAGCTAACCAGGTCACACACATGGGAGTGAAGAAAAGAGTGGTGACTGCCTCAACAAAGAAATCAGAAAGTAAATGGTTCAGGCATGAAGACTGAACTATTCAGTTGCCTCCACACTAGTAGTTCCTTGGGTCAGGGCAGGGTTGAGTCACATTGCTGGGGAAATCTGATCTCTAACTCTGTATTTGATCCTCAATAGAGAATCCTCATGTCTAAGGATTTCACCCCAATTACTTTTATGAGGAAATCCAATCACAAATGTTTGGCAATTTGCATTATGATTTCAACTGAATTGTAAAGGTTATCCTGTCTCTATGTATCCCTTTAACTAAAATCATCCCTAAAGTGTACATTTTTTAAATGACACCTATATTTATATTTGCAATTTGGCTTACAGAAACAGTATTTGTGTGAGCAAATTGGTTACTATCCACAGCCAACTATCTGATTGGCCCACATAAATGATATATAAAATTGAAATTACACTTTGTGTATGAACAAAATTGTGGGCACAACCTTCAAAAGTTTGCTCAAGATGTATATTTCATGAAAACTTAAATATCTGTGCTATGCAGTAGTTCAAAGTTCTTTCATCTGTGAATGCTTGACTTTATACCTGCTTTATTTAATATGAATGGAGTTTGGCAGTCTTAGCCCAGATCCCATTCAAAATGTTTCAATATCACAAATGCGATATTGTCTGGTATAATTCAGCACAAGTGTCCAGTCTGGCATAATTCAGCACAAGTGCCAATCTCTCTTCTAAAGGAGCATAATGTGATTTGCAAAGGAATTCCAGCCTGATGTGCTATGAACACACTGTTTCTTATTTCAGTCAGATATCAGAATGAAATTGCATATGACTGTGCTGACATGCACACAATTAGCAGGAAGAAGAATACTGCCATTTCTGGAGAGATAATATATGATAGACAAGACAGACAAGTATTATGCAAATATTTAAAGTAAAGTATTTTTGTGAGTGTCTTTCATTTTGTCTTTGTATATCTTGCATATATGGGTTGTATTTGTGCTTATATTACAGTACAGTTTTTGTGCATTATTATATCACACTTATTTTGTTTGTGTTTCATAACACTTATGAACAACTCTAAGAATTTGAGACTATTTTATCACACAATTTGGTGCATAATATTTTTGCTCCAGAGAACACAATATGACCTTTAGTTTTAAAAAGATCACTAGCTTAAATACATGCTTTTGGTTTATTTTGAGGGAATTTTGGACAAGATTTTTAACTCTGAATTTTATTTTATCAGCAGATTGATTCCTTTATATCCATTACTCGAAAACAGTAAGAGGTGTTCTGTGAACCAAGTGGCTGAAATGACTGACCCCTAGAATTTTGCATAAAGAAAGTCTTATGTAGTGTAACTAATTGTTCTGAACCTACTCTGTTGGATTGTTTCATTTGTGAATACAAGAGAGTATTTCAAGATAATACACTCAGTTCAATTATTGGCTCTTTGTCTTTTGTTGTTGTTCCATATTTCTATGCTTTATTGTAAGTTTTGCTAACAATCACTTTACAAATGTACAGTTTTAGCTCAGGGCAAGAGGGTTGGAGAGGGATCAGCGCCACCTGTGGGTGGATTGGGACTGGAGAAGGAGACCACCAAAGTGGGTAGTGCAGTGTTTTCAGCCCCCAACTGCAGGCAGAAAAAGACTGGGTGGGTAGGTCCTGCCGTGGGCAGGGTGGAGTTTGAAGTGAGGTTCAGCCCTAATCACAGCTCGAGGCTACATGGGACTCAGACTGAGATGTGTGCATTGAACGCATGGATCAGCCAAAACTCAGGAGACTTAGCAAAGGCAGCTTAGGTGAGCTCTGAAGGGGGCCTGGCTCAGGTGAGCCCCCTTGGCTGTTTTCTTTAAGAAATATGGTCATCAGGGAGTGGGGAGGAATGGGGTATCAAGATCTCTACCTCTCTGCTGGAGCCAGGTTGAGAATCTCTAGCCTCTTCTCTTTCTGCCTGCCCTCTGGACAGTGGCTTCTGTTACTGCACCTGCTCAGACTGGTTCTCCAAAGCAGATGATGCTACCCTCCTGCCAAGAGGGTCTGTGATTAACGTGCGTTAAATAAATTAGTGTGTTAATTGTACTGTGTGTTAAAAGTTAATTGACAGCCCTAATTTATATATGTAAATGGCTCTGGATGTGTAAATTCTGTCATCTGTGCACATAAATTATACCAATGCACACTGAAATGTGCATGCAGCCTCAGGAGAATAGCTTGTCTCGGCCAGTTTCCTGATATCAGAAAGGTGCTAGTTACTTGCTGGGCTCTGTGAACCCACTTTAGATCTTCTTGTAATTGATTTGTAAGATCTATTGAGATTTAAGACCAAGTGCTTTTCACACCTCTGCTTTTCCTTGCAGGTGCCCATCAGTTTAAGCCATCAGAAGTCATTATTAATATATACCTGTTACAAACATTTAATTTCATTTATTTACTGTCAGCAGTAAGTTCTGCGGCCCAGTTCTGATACCAGGCTTCTGGACACTATTATAATACAACTAAGTAATATTAATAATGTTGCCCCTTTTTTGACT